ACGCGGCGACGGCGACCGTGCTCAAATTCAAGTACCTCACGAAGAGGCTGACCACCTCCGCCAATCCAGCGGGAGGCGGCGCCTCCCCCGCCGGAAACGACACGCCGAGGGAGCGCGGCAGCGGCGAGAAGTCGTTGTCGACGAGCCAGAAGTGGATTAGCGTGTGCACAACGAACTCGGCACGCGCGGCGACGGAGGCGTCGTAGCCAGGGCCGTAGTGGAGAATTGAGGTGCGATAGGGCTGGTGCGCGGCGAGGTCGTAGGAGGTGACAAAGGCGCGTAGGTAAGCGCAGAGGAGGCGCGTGTATAAATCGCAGTGAGGTTTTCCCTCGGGGCAGCGTTTGGAGGCGGAGAAACCGGGAATCGAGGAGGCCCAGGCCCAATCCTCTAACCTAAATTTCTTAGCTCTCTTGACGGAAGAGTGAACGGGGTTTTGGTTTTTGGCCCTGGAAACGGGGTAGTAGGCGAGCCAGAAGAAGAAGTACTCGAAGACGTTGAGTTGGACCTGGGGTGGGGAAGGTGAGGGTTTGAAGAGCGAGGGACAGAGATCGGAGAGCTGACGGGAACCGTTAGCGTCGGCGAGGAGGAGGGAGCGGGTCCAGTGGGGGAGGCGTTCGACGGGGAAGAGGTATTTGACGAGGGAGAGGCGGTCGACGGCGGCGATGGAGGCGGCGAGGGTGCCGGCGGGGGAGAGGAGAGAGAATAGGGTTTGGGCGAGTTCGGGTTTGTGGATCCAGGCATTGGTGGCGACAGGGTCGTGGAAGCCGAATAGCTTGGAGATTAGGGTCGGGAAGGCGAGGGAGAAGAAGTGGCGGGACTGGTCGGGTGAGTGGGAGTGCAGGAAGGAGTCGATGGAGGCGCACGCGGATGCGATTTGGGAGGTGGTTGTGGCGGATTCGATGGCTGACGATAGTTCCTGGGATTTGGAGAGGGAATCGAAGGTGTAGGAGTGAAGGAGCATGGCGCGGTTTTAGGGTTTTGCTGAGGTAATGGAGATGGAAATGGAAATGGAAATTGCGTTTTGAAGTTGGAGTGTGGTGGAAAAGATTTTAAAAATGATAGCGGTGAAGGCAAATGGCGCCCTTTTAAGAGGGGTGAGGTTTGCCTTCGTTGCCACGTAATAGGCGTTTTCTGTTTTCAAGATAAAATGAAAACAAAGCTACCGTCTCGACTAATGCTACTGCTCTTGTGTCTCTTCACCATGCTCGTAAGTAACTTTGTTCATCAAACTTCGTTTTTAAGAAAAAAAACATTAGTTGCCCATTATTTTATATTATAATATCTGTATAAAAGGAAGGATGAATAAATGACTGTTGTTTGTTGGGTGAAATGAAAGAAAGTTGTTTTGTTTTATTCGTTTTTATTTTAGTTTAACCATGTGTTATCTATCGTCTTATTATTACTTGTAAGTTGTTTCCATGTGTACTTGGAGATGTAAATATTGTAGTCTAGTTATTGTAATTTTATTTAGGCTACTATTTTGGATATAGATGAATGATAATTTGAAACTTCATTGTTTTGAGTAATATAATAGTTAGTTCTCTTCTCACAAGTTATGTTGATGTTCTTATTGAAATGAATTCTTCTTTTTGTATCAAAATGGAGATTGAGACTTCAAAATTTCTCATAACATGATTGGAGATTTTGGTAGAAATAAAAGTTAGAGGAATAAGAATATTGGGCATCCCCAGAGGCTGGATTTCTAAAACAAGTAAAGTTATTCTCTAAATATTAATGAATTTTTACTTGGTTAAAAAAACATAATATGAATTGTGAGAACAAGAGGAAAAAAATATTGAATTAGTCACCAAGGCTCAAATGGTCAAAATGAAAGTAAAAAACATTAAAGATTTTCGTCCAACCATTAAAAGAAGAGGATGAAATAACATTCAATGCAAAGAGGTTGTAAGGACTTAAGGAGTTTAAATTGTTGTTTTCAACATGTTTATGCATCTGGGAGCTATAAGTTATGCTCAAGAAATCAAAGCTCTCTCCAAACCACATTTAATGGGAAATTATAAGAATTTCTCATAATAGCCAAGTTTAAGAAACTATAAGTGTGAAGAGTTCACATGTTCTCAATATTTTTAGGTATGACAAGTTACATATAATGACCTTTTTATTACCATGAAGATCATTAGAGATGATATTAGTAATCTTGTTATTGACATTTTTAATTATGCTATTATGTTAACTTACACCTATATTGTTCCCACCAAAAAGTATTAATCAATTTGGCCTAGTCAATTTTGTAATTTAAAGTTCTCTAAATTTATGGTATATAGATTAAAATTTTCACCAATTATTTGATCCACTTAAAATTTACTATTCTAAGAGCATATTTGATATAACATTTGGTAAGTTGTGAGGGTCTTTGGCCAGAGGTTCAATTGAGCCCGGGAGAAACCTTAGAGGGAAAGATCAAGAGAGATAAGCTATGATTCCTTCTTTTGTTATTCTTTTTAGGTTCTTCTGGAGTGTGAGATTCGTAGCAGGAAGTATCAGATTCGAAGCTTAAGCTAAGAATCAGAGGGTTGAGACTGTGCAGAGCTTGGAAGCTCGGGGTTTTCCTTTCTTGTCCTTCTCCTTTCTCGGTTTAGCTTGGAGTTCTTCCTGGGTTTTACTCCGTTTCGAGGTAAGGGAAGCTAGAATCTTGGATTTTGGCTGAAATGTTGGGTTGTTGAATGAATTAAGAACTTAAATTTGAATTTTTTAAATCTAACTGTGGGGATGAATTTGAAGTTGGCTGTATTTTGAAATTGAGAATTTAATGTTCTTGATGAAAGGTTAAAATGTTGATGATTCTTTGAGTTTTGGTTCATGCATGTTGTTTTTCTTGTGAATTCTAGGTTGCGTGAATGAGAAGCCATGTTGTTGAGCGTTGCAGCCATAAAAGCAAATGGGATGATTGAGACTCAATGTTGTAGTCATTATTAAGTGCTATAGCTATGGGAAAAACTATGATGGTCGAGACTCAGTGTCGTAACCATGGTTGAGTGCTGCAACGGTGGGAAAACTAGGTTAGCTGAGACTTAATGTTGAAATGCTGAATTGAGCGCTACATCAACCCTTAGCCAAGTACCTTGAAAGGTTATGTGGTTCCTTGAGGATAGTTAGTGTACAAATTTTATATGTGACTTGGTAATTTATGCCAAGGTCGTGGTAAGCTTATACCAAACTATATTATTCTTGATGGTAGAATTAGACTTTCCTAGCGTAAATGATGAGACCCGAGAAACTAGGGGAGAGATTAATATCCCATTTTGTTGTGATCAAGCCAGTGCTTCGGGCGTTAAAACGATTGGATTAGTTTGGTAGGATGATGCCCAAGGAGGAAAAAAAGTGACACATTGAAGGATCCAAGAGGAATGGGCTAGTCATGAATACCCTAGGAGGATTTGGGCCCATTTTTAGGTTAGTAGGCCTTGGCTTATCTTAGGCTATGGGTCATTAACTAAAAGTCTAATACCTCCTATACATATGCTTTTATATAGTTTATTTTCATATATAAAGTGTCATATTTTTTTTCTTGTATTTTGGGCCTAGTAGAATAAGGTTTTTGGGCCCAAGGTCTTATTGAGCCTATTTTGGACTTAATGGGCCTTAGGTATTTTGGTACTTAATATTGGATTTGTTTTGCTTCATTTATTATTTATTAATGTCTAAGATATGTAGGCCATTAGATTAGATTTCGAGGAGAAAAGGTTAATAGGCAAGTTAGTTAAAATTATGTCACGTTTAGGTTTTAATTTATGATGGATTTAGTGCACATGTGTTAGGCTAAGGTAGGTTGCACTTGATCCACACCAAATAACATCCAAATGCAACCTAATTTTGTAGCTGCACATGGTGATGCCATTGGCAAGCCAAAATTTAAATTCAAATTTTGGCTTGAATTCAAATTTTGCGCCAATGCACCTAATCACTTTATGACTCCACATTCATCCTTCCCTTGGCCTATAAGTCAAGCTCTCCTATCTCGTTTGTATTCACTTTAAGTTGTATATACAAAGCATTATGTATTCTTGCAAATTCTTTCAACTTAGGGTCACTTTGAGCTTAAACTTTAAGAATTTAGAAAATTCCTACTTTGTGTTCATCCACCTTTGTGAGCAATCACTTGAGTCCTTGGCTTGAGTGCTTCCAACACTAGAGGTTCAACACCTTCTCAAGGTGTTATTCAATCAATCTTGGTGAACGAGGAGCTCAAAGAAAGATCAAGAGACATATGGCAACTCTAGTTGGTGAATTAGATCAAAATCTACTAGGAGTTGCCATCGGGTGGAAATCACTTAGTTTACTCATATTGTAAGGAGATTTTCGTAGATGAATGCGTGATGATGCATTGGTGGATATGTTGCATATGATGTGTGTTGAGGTGTGTTCATATGCATTATTAATGTCTTGTGTGACATGGTTTGAATGAGATACATGTTTGCTTGAAGTTTTGTAGTTTTCATGTATGATTATGGATGATGTTGTATATTATATGGTTGTTTATATATATATATACACACACACACATGTTTTTAAACTTTAACTTACCCTTTTTCGTTTTCATGATGGTTTGAATTGCAATGATTATACATTGTATGGGAGTAGATCAGAGTTAGGGATGAGAAGCTGATGTTGACAAGGGCGTGATATTTTTTTGTGAATGGCAATGCTATTGCATGTAGCTTGTATAATTATGCTTGACCGACACTAGGATATAAGATTATTTTGAAATTACTATACACACACATATATGACTTGTTTATATTAGTTCAGATGTTTTACTTTTGTACTTATGTTATATGTATATATGTATGGTACGTTTTCTTCCTTTAATCCTATGTCTCAGGAATTTATTTTTTGTTGCTAGTGATACTCATTCAGAATGATGATCACAATGGGTCATTTTACATTTGAAAAGGCTTATAATCCTAAAAGGAAGATTTAATTGACAAATAATACAAGACTATGAAAAATAAAGAAGATACGTGTTTTTGATTCTTGTATTTTTAGTTAAACTTAGTCTTGATCCATTTATTTTGAAATTAATCAAATCAATCCTTCAATTTTAAATTATGGCTTTCACCCTTTTCTATTAGTATTGACAATGCCAATACACCACTATTCATTTTCCATTTGTCTTGAGTAAGTACTGACATGTAAAATAAGTTTTTAATTTAATTTTGATTCGAATAAATTGTGAAAAATACTCTATAATTTATTTTTTGATCAAACTCCAAACAACCACTCTTTGTCCATTAGTTTCACCCCCATTTTAGGAGTGTCAAAATAGGCTAACCCACTTCAATCTGCTTGCAACTTGACTTACGTGGGATTGATGGAAAGTTAGGTTAAGGTTGTAAAGAACTTTTTTTTTGGTAATATAATATTTTGATGTGATTTTCGAAATACTTAAAATGATTAATTTTCCTTACCATAGATTGTTGAACATGTAAATTGCTATTATTATTTACTTTTTAAAAACACACGTTAAGTTGTAACCAAACAAAAAAAACACACACATATATATATATAAAAACACACACACACGTTAATATATTTTTTAGTAATTTATAATATATATAAAGGTGATAATTTATTTAATATACACATTTTTTTAGATGATTTTATTCTTAAATTTTTAAATAATAAAAAATAATACAACACTATTTAATCTAATAAATGTTGACAAATTTCAGATATTTTTATTAAATAAAATATAGAGGTACGAAATATCTTGACTTTCACTAATAAAAATAAAATAAACATGCACAAAAGTGGATAACCGTTGAACTTGAAATTGTAAAAAAAAAAAAAAAAAAAAACTTGTACACACGAGAGAAAGGAAAAGGAAAAAAGGAAATAAATAGGCTCATAATATATGCAATAATACACCTTTTTTTTATAAGTATACCTTTCTTTTTAAAAAAAAAATAAATAAATTTCTAAAATATTCTTAATTTTTTATTCTCTATTTTTTAAAAAAAAAAAATTACTTTCAATGTTGAATTTGACATTTTCTCATTCTTTTTCACACACCTCTCTTCCTCATCTTATTAGTTTTTACATGCACTTTTTTATCTTCCTCAACTTTTCACTTATTTCAGTAGGTAATTTTAATTTTCATTCTCTTTTCAATTTTCACACTATTATTGTTTTTCTCACCTCTTCCAGTTTTTACATGCACA